GAAGTTTTGCCTCCGAGATCGACTGTTCCATATGTGAATATGCTAATCAAATTCACAGTAGAAAATTAGGTCCCAATAACATCACCCTTTTCACGAAATCACCAAAGAGCATTGTGATCAAAAGATGTGTCAAATTCGCCTTTTTCTAGATAGTATTTTTAAGTCTGTTCAATCGTCGTTGAAGTGTATCCCAGTTCGTGAGATCACAACTACCTTATCGGGACGATTGTGTTATCACTGTCCATCAATCCAGTGTACGGATTACCTATCGCCCGTGTCACCTCTTTTCGCCGACCCTGTGACACAACCACAGGGATTGTTCTATCAGCACACAAACGTCATGACAGGTTAAGTGCACCGAATCACAAGAAAAGGAATGCACCAATGTTAGCCGATGTATAACTGCCCCCTCCCTATTTATGCACTATTTGAAAATCTTTTCAGTAATTTACGTTCCGTCACTAGCGTTCTTTTATTTTTATGGTTTGTGCACCGGGTGCATCTAGTGGAGAAGACTGTGGCGTTCAGCAGTGTGCCATGATCATTAGTTTTCAGTGTCTCATTTGCCATTTTTGTTACTGTTCTAAATCCGTCAATTCCGTAAAGATGTTAATAATCATTTGAACTGGTTGTCTTTTGTTACTGGAAATAACTGAAATTCACACAAATAGTGATAATAATAATGAAATATATTGAGTTAAAAATATCATCACCTTCAAATTAAAGTTTTATGGTTAACCGTAAAGTAATTGTTAGCGCTAGTTTCACAAATCCCGAATAACGAACTAACATTCCGGTGCAATTGAACCGAAGAAGAGTCTGGATGGGCAGTGTGAGTACTGTGTCGTTTTGTAGAAATTACTCACTTGGTGTTTGATTCCTAAACGTGTTGGTGTGTGTGTGTGTGTGCATATTTGCGTGTTCACAGTGTGATTGGTTGCTTGTAAAGTAGTCCAGACGAAAGATATCAGACCTAATGCACAATCCGATTACGGTGATGGTCAAAGGTGAAGTTGACATGACCTTGGTACGGAACAGTAATATAGAAAGATAAACTTTGCTCATTGGGACAAAGTACAATTTAGAATCTGTTATGAAACAAGTCATTCGCATTGGTGAGTACACCCAGTGAAGCTGTATCAGACACATGCAATCTAAAATCAACAGAAAGTCGAGAAAAACATTGCGAGGAGGAGATGGATGGGGGCGGTCGGTTTATTGCTTACAAAAAGTGCATTCATCATGCACAGTTCTAAGAACATGCTAAGTCAGCATGATAATTGTACAATTCATAAATTCGGTCACTCCAGATCTGTTATGGTCCAATACTTCCAACAACAGTTGCAGATTAATGATACATCATGTAGGTTTGACGTTTGTGTTCCGGATAAATGAAGGGGGTTATCAATCCCCCTCTTCTGTCTGAGTTCACAATTCAGGCGGATTTGGTGAAAAATATTGCGGATGATTCTGAACAAGGAGGATCAAGCTCAAACGGTGCTTCAAGAAGTGACATTTTGAATTTACACTAAAAGAAAACGTCATGAATAAATGAGCTTTTTCCTGTTGACAAAGCTTCAGCGGTCAGGTTGAAGATATTGATTTCCCCTACACGAATAAATAGCATTGCCCGGTTGGCTTTGGGGCATGATCTGCATATTGTACTGTAGGGATCACAAACACTAATTTGATGTTTAGCATAGCGTGAGATTCCTATGGTCACAAAAATGTATGGTCTACACATGGTCACCGGAAACCTAAATACAAAGTATAAATGGAAAAAGTGTCACCGAACTAAATGATGACAACGTCGTATATTGGGAATACAGTTTGATTCACAATATCACTATACCACTTGATTCACGTGTCAATTTAGAGTATCAGGTGTATATCTCTGTCAAAATCTTTCCGAGGCGAGCTGTTCACGACACACCACAGCGTACATTTGCTACGAACCAGTACACATTGGATTTAGTTGAAGAGGGAAATGACATCCGAATCATGTAACATTGTGTTGGAAGTATTCGGTATTATCCCATTAGGGTAGTCACCGAGATTTCTGAATATTAAAATAAATGACGAGAGCGGTAAATCCGAAGCACATCGTCGGGAATTGCTGAGTTGTTTTGTGTTAAGAGCGAAACATGGATGCATAGTCGGGGAATTTGATGTGTAATCAGATCGAAAAAAACCTCCGAAATTAAAGATTGGTATAAAGTAATGCTGTGATTGTTTGCCCAAGCGTGAGACTTCATTCACTGGCATATTAAGTATCCGAAGATTGTGAAAACGTTCGGTGAGAGGGATTGCATTCTCCAATCTTAGGTTTCATTAACTGAGTAACAAATATCCTTCTACTCCGTTGAGCGTTTAAGGACCATTGAATTGCTGTTGTGATTTGCCGCAAATGGTAATCCCTCAATCTACAACAAACGACAAAGCAAACAATACAATGAAACCTGCTTAATTGCTTTTATCTCCTTACCAGACATTGTGCATATCTATTGAAGAAAAATGAGGTTTGTCTGATTAACTTCATTCAAACCACGTTTTGGACACCTCTTTGGCATTACTGTCTCTCTCTACCTCTTCAGCAATATTCAATTCCACTGGACGAAAATTCGGCAACGTGTCCAAAAATTTTGAGGTACATATTGCGTGACTGGATTAATTCACCTGTGTTCAAATCATTGTTTCAATGAACTATAAACAATTAGTTGGGGCTGAGTGTACTTAGCAATATCCTCAATCGGTGAAGTGGTCTAAAACGAATTATGATACAAGTACCATCAATTTCCTGCTAGTTTCTTCCAGATATACAACACGTTTGAACCGGATTCCCAGGAATAGATGACAATTAACTGAGGTCTGTGTGGAAAACTGAGTAAGCTTATCTTCACATTGTGGGGATGGATGTGCTGGTACTTCTTGTCAATATTCAGTAACAGTGAATCGACTCACTGGTTGTCTGTCTCAGTGGAATGCATTTTGAGTTCAATGTGTAACATTGTTTCTAATGTAAATCGATTTTTCACAAGGTAGATAAAATGAATGTTTATCTTCTGAAACACTGTGGAGTTTGAAAGTTTTCAAAAGACTCGAAAGCCCACCCCTCGGAAGCTCGGCCAATCTACACCTAGTTTTTATTTCGTCCGTTGAGAAAATGTTGGTGATGGCCACCGTTTGATAATTTAGTGTTTAACTGGCACATTTTGTCTTCTTAGATAAAATGAGTTAGAAACATGGCTTGTTGAGGGGAGAACAGTTGTGGGAACGATTCAGGGGTAATATCACTGATTAATTAAAGCACACATCAGGTGAAGTAGAAACAAAAGACGGTAACAATGAAGGGTTATGTGCATTAGTTCGTTACAGCAAACCATTAATAGACTAGCCTTTTCTATGCGAGGAAATGGGTTGTGTGATTGTTTATTTTGAAATTGCCGAAGTGAATTACGTATTTATAGATTGTGTGAATGTGAAGAATAAGAGTGAGGTTGGAAAGTATGCGAAACATCCTTTTTCATTGATCGATCTCATCAACACAAGAAGTCACATGTGGTCAGGACCGAGATGGGTCATCAGGTTCGCATTCTCTCATTTAGCTGTGGAACAAATTTTCACGGTAACAGAGAGCATACCATTAAATTCCATGTCCCGTGAATGCACACGGAAACCAACGTATCCCTTGATCCTCGGAAATAAGCAATTTCCTATCTAAACAAACAGAATTTGAAGCAAAATATTTTATTGTCACAATGTGAGATCTGAATTAGGAGCATGTTTTACCAATGAAACTGTAGGTAGTGCGCAGAGTAATATTACATCTGTTAGGGAATGTTTGCATTTGTCACGACAAGAAGGAACCGAAATCGAAATTTTGGGGACAGTTTTTTTTTCGCAAACTAACAATCAACAAGAAGTGGGATCATAACCAAAATAAGTGCCGTCGCTAAGCTATAAGTTAGTTAGTTATTCACTTCGACCGTCAGGCGAAGTTGGCAACCTTCAAAACGAGACTAGATTCGGTGTAGGTTCGTCTACCACTGGAGCTGCCAGGACACTTGTTTCTTTAAAAGACCAGAAGTTCAGTGTCATAGTTTGTAGCGCTTTCCTTTACGATTTTCTGATACGGCTAATCATTGCCGAGGGTTCTTAACGGATTCCAATATTCGATCACTGATGATTCCGACAGATTTTCAGAAAAAAACCAAAGGCAAGGTCAAGTAACGTATGTTGTTTGCATATATATATATATATATATACTCCAAAAATGCTCCAAAAATATCGTCCACAGGAAAATCCGTAGTCTGTTGTTCACCGTTTGTTTTTCAATACTTCTGCTCGTTTGTGCGCTTTTCCATAAAATGTGCGAGAAAATTTCACCTAATGTTTTCACTTTGAAAATCACTGTCATTCAACTCTGCCCTGGATTTTTCAATACATACATATGCGTATAAACGAAGCCTAACACCAACTTCTTCATCTACAAAGACTTACAATGATTGTCACCTACAGAGGCACGCCAGATTTATCATCGCCAATTAATTTTTTTTTCATTTCAGATTTATGTAGATCAAATCATCATGGCTCCCAGTCCTTTGATTGTGTTCGAAGAATACAAGCAAAAGCGTGCTTTGTTTATCGGGCAAGAGGGCACATTGCACATTGCTCATTCGTAAGTTCGACTGGTCTAGAGCATGAAATTTCGAAGAATTAAGGCAAACCCGTGATGGTATTTCTAGGTTCGGAGGTTGAAAGAGGGTGGGAGAACGTGTTCCAGTCAAACGCGAGGGTATTGGTTTTTACGATATCAAGTGTGCTGGCGAATAGTCGTCGTTGGCTTTACGTGCAACCTAGTAGAATACAGTTCGAGTAAGACCTGTCCCCATGTGGGTGACATATGTGGGTTGATACTGTGCGCTGGTCATGCATTCTTGTTGATCGTTTTGGTTTTGATAAACCAAACCGAGCGCGATGTACGGCATGAAGATCATGCCAGACCAACAACTTTCCTGGTGTTGGTATAATCCAGAAGTATTTTATGTACAGAAACGTTATGTCGATCTCTGTAATTGAGCAGTTTCGTCGATTCTATATGTTCTATTTCAGGAAAATTATTTTCTTACAAGTTTATTTGATAATCGTGCGGTCACTTATCTCGAAGGGATCATAGGGCCATGAAGAACGTCCCGTGGTCAGTAGAAATAGGACATTAATCCGGCTGGGGTGGGATTTGAGCATGGGGAGTTGGAGCCGATATGATAGTGACTAATGGCTTCTGACGGCTACCTACCACCTGGAGGAAACTAGCACAAAAAGTAGGAAAAAAGCCATAGTTCAATATTTCCTTATCCAGTTACATCTACTCGAACAGTGTATAAATTTTGTACAAAATATATGCCACGCCATCTAGTTCATTTGTCATTAAATTATACTTCCCTCACACGTGTATCAAGGGGTTTCTATATTAGTGATCACAATAAATTCAAATAATTTTCTTTGGATTACAGATGCGATTCTGATAGCTATGATCCGAGTCATCACGGTAACGATATAGGTATGGGAGGAGTAATGCAAAACGTTTGATCAATGTTCATCGAGTACCTTTTCTCCCGTTTGGGTTATCAAAGGGTGTGTTTTCTTTGTGGGGCTCAACTATCTCCTAGTTTACTGGATACAAATTTTATCAGTGTTGATTTGGCGACTGATTTTCGAATGTTTACAGGAAACCAGCAACCTTCATAAAGTAATTTTTATCTAAGTATTCGATCGGCGATAACATGCTATTGGGTGTAAAAACTGAAGAAAGTAATAACCTGAATTGTGAGAGGTCACTTGAGGGTTACACGAATCTCACGAGAATATATCCGTTGTGTATGTGCTGTCCTTGACCAAAAATACCAAAACCGCAAAATGAACATGAGATCGAATGAGAAAAATCCACATTTTACGTTCTTTGTGACTGATGCTCTCTCGTATATCTGACGTTTTTCGTACATCTTGATTTGATATCCCGTCTGCCTCTCTATGATGGGAAGCGAAGTAATGACTTTCGCTTGTATACTGACTTTGTGAATCATCGCGCAGTGGGTGAAGTCATCATCCATCGGATAGGATCAAATTCTTTTTCAGTGCAATAGTTTGTAACTCCGAATGCGATGTTCTTACTTCCCTTCTATCCCTATTTAGATTCGCGTGATTTGATTGTAATTGTAAAACTTGTAGAATTTCAAAACTGTCAAAATCGAGAAATCGCACATTTATGAGTCATTCAACTAGGATATGCAACAGCGCATGTAAATAATATTGCAACTATATTCTGTCTGGTGTGAAGTAATATCCAATTTATTCCCCTGAATGAGGCCCAAACGCCAGCCCTTGGGAGGAAGAGACTTGATCGAAGTCAGGATGTCATACAAGTCGATAAATACCCGTACTGATGTGATCTGAAAGTAATGTCCGATGGTTAGGGACAGACTCTATCAGCTGAGGTACAGATGTACAGTGCATGAATTATAGCTCCGCTGAAGACTTGCTGTAATGAGCGAAATAACTTCTGAAGTTCCTGTTAGGCATTTGTTTGGTACAAAACCAAGCATCCCGTAGTGGTGGTTGTTACTGATGAGAAAAAGAGATATATTATTTAATGAAACACTATACGTTAGATTAACAAGTATTGGTTCAGTTGCTTTGCCCTTTCCAGGTTACAAAATCAATTTTTATGGCCGGCGATGTATCGTTTGAACTGCATTTTTAGGGTGAACTGTTAAACAAAAACCCAAGATAAGAAGTCGGTAACACTTCAGTTGTCTTCGCCTTAAACAAACTGTCTCACCTTCTGTAGTCGCTTTTATATTGTTTGTACTGTATCTGCAACTAGGTGAAGTCTTGTACGATGCATACATGATTACAATTGAGGATATGTGAGAAGAAGATTCGATCATGCCGTTAACAATTGAAGTGCTAGCTACAAAAGGAAAAATCACAACAAATTAGTGTTTTTCTTTATCAATATTTCTGTAATCAAAGCATTTCTTGTTTCGATCAATCTTTATTCATGCGCACAGGTCCCCTTTGTTTACTCATCCCAGTGAATATATTCTATCCGGATCAGATGCACTTGAAGAGTGCTCTTATGATGTCAGTTTTCACTTCACTACATTCACTTGAGACGTCGGTATTTTTATCTGTCAGTCCACATAAATCCCCTGGGTAGGCATTCAAACGTATAATTTTAATTACTGGATGATCTGAAAACATTAACTGGGCTTCCGGTGGATCAAGAGTCGTTCCATTCTATCTTTTCTCATGAAACATAGCTCGTATTTGATTCGTAGACCTTATTAGAACAGTTGAATCTCTCGTTCCGACTGAAATCAATTCCCGTATTTCGGTCGGACGGGACATAGCGTGCTTAGCAAAAATGGCCCTTTTAGACTGATTACACCTGCTATACTCTCTTTTAATTTTTCAGCCTGGGATTTGTAAATGCGATCACACTGGAAGAGGTCAAAGCAGCCTACCCATTGCTGGATATGGTCGACCATGATAACCGTAAACGAATGGTATGTGCGCGAATGCGTTCATTGCTCAATCCAATTTGAATAGTTCGCTTTCTTTTTGTTAAATTTGTTCCATTTTTGTCTGCACCCGTCATAGTCGGCAATCCAGATGCAAGCCAATGTGAATGAGTAGGCAGGCACATGACAAAGTTTGGTTCGACGAGAATCATCATTCAACCCTCGATAGGTGGCAACTCGATTTGAAAATACTGCTCCGAAAGGCGTGATAATGGGCATAAATCTGGATTATGTAATCTCCAATGCTTTCTGAGGCAGTAATGAACTGTCTTGTCTGACTTATGCACTTCAGCACTCAGTTTGTTAACGTTGGTGTGGTTTTCAGTGTTAAACTTAAAAGATGATCTTATTTACTGTATCACCTATTCCAAACAATTCCGAACGTTTGTTTTTCTGTGATGAATCGATTAAAACGAGTTACAATTATCAATACAAATAAAAATCAAGCTTTAAGGAACAAAGGTTGAGCAGAGGTAAACAAAAACGGGTAAGATAATGCGGCTGAAGCTTGTGCTTCTGGATTACTGATTTTCCACTAATGTGAGTTCAAAGGTCTAGGGAATAGCCCCTGATCTCCGGTAAGCTACGGGTGGAATGAAAACGTGTTTGTCATGGACAAAGTTTGAATTCCACCCTCACTTGATACACTTATTGCCAAAATATAGACATACAAAGAGTCCTACGCTTTATCTCCTGATCTTGAACAACGTATTTTAAATGGCACGCAGCGGTTTCCGGTGTTTCCACTAAAAGCCATTTTTGAAAACAAAGATGCCCCAACGGACACCGTTGGATGTTAGTTTTATGGTTTTCTTTAAATTTCAGGCAGTAGAATTACACACTTTCCCTTAAACGCACGTCTGTTGTAAATTATTCCTATTCCTTCGTTCTTTACTTCTACAATCTGCTTCGGTAAACGAAGCCAAGCCATTGGAGACCTATGATTGTGGGAAAATACAAGGGTTTTGAAACAAGGTGGTGTTATTGCTCGATCCCTTGCGCAAGTGCATTTTGATGGTGAATCCTTCCCCGAACGTTGTTCACTATGGGGTGAAGTATTGAAACTGGGTCGAGGAAGGCGCAACAAAATCACGCTCCAGGTTGCCTCAGTCCATTTGCTGATCGTTGTCTAGCACCTGCAAACTCAATTGCTTCCGTGTCTTTATTCAACCTTCGGCTCGTGTATAAACTCTCAATTCACTACATGAATATACCCAAACTTTCTAATTAATCTTAAATAACTCCACCGTAAATGACTCCGTATTGCCTTCATTTTACACTGACTAAGCCTTGTACACTGATCTCAGTTCAACGTCTACAGGCACCGATGATGAACCTATTCAGTTTTTCACTCTGGTGACTCAGAGAATCCAGAGAATCTAATCACTGAAGAAAAACTCAACTGTTTCAGCTTTCGATTGTGCTCAGTTTTACTCTTATTTTTGTACGGGATACTACTCACGATTAATGGCTTTCTCCGAAGTGCAATTTGAGCTTTCCACACTGCAAGCTACTTCATCATTTTAGGATAAATATTGGATCATTAAAATGCAACATGAAACCCAATTCGTTTCCAGTCCACCAATCCAACAGATCGATTCAGTTGTTTGGCCGGTTGAAAATCATTAGCTGTTTTTCTATACGTTTCTTCTCAACTAATAACTAATTCAGCCTGCACGGATCGGGACTAATGTCATCCACTCACGTGTGTGCCTCCTATTAAACACGTCTGCAGACGTCAACTGGTTGAGTGGAGTCGGTTTTATTACACTTGTGTAACGTTTAAACGAAAACCAGTGACGGAGGTTTTTTCCTTGCTTTCAAAATCCACCGACAGAAACTAATGTACTCCAGAATGAGAGAGACTTTCGTTCGCTTTCTGCAGCAAGCGACCTCACACGGAAAAGTTGAAAGATGATGATGGTGATGTGTTAATGATTAGAACGCGAAATCTGCCAGAAATTTTATTTGAATTCTCACAATTGTCGAACCTGTTAGTTACAATATTGTTTTGCACTGTATCGTTTGTTCCCTTAATAACAGGCAAAAGGAGTTCCTGAAGCTAAACCCGTGGGGAAGATCGATGGTAAGTAGTCGCGAATCAAATGAGTGCATGTAACGCATCAATAGACCGGTTCATACGTCTGAGCAGGTATGAGTGATAAAATATTTGTTTATTCATATCAGACTGTTTATCGATCAACTAGATAAATAAATTCCGATAAACATACAGATTTATATATCTTTTAATATTTTTATTGACAAACACTTGGCTAATCAAAGACAAATGACTATATGTAACTTTAAAAGGGCTACAATACGAGATATTTGGTGCTAGTAGGTTCACAATGATCAGTAGGTCAAAGATTTGACACTGAATAAGTCGCTAGTCACACACTGGATCCCAATTTATTCAGTCAGTATATGAAGGATGTCTCATTCGCATTACTCTCAACAAACTGTTCAAATGGTGTGTAGAAAACTTTTGTTTGGGTTGTCCCATTTAAGATCACATTCTCTATCTAACTGTTCTTAATGGGATTTTTATCCCCTTGAATTTCATCAATTTCCCACATTTTTCATTATTTTTATTTGAAATTCCCACGTTTTGTGTGATAAACAACAAAATTTTCGTTAGATAGTTGTTTTCTTGGGCTTTCAACCCTCTACCAGTGTCTGGGCGTCTCTTCTGGAACTCTATCCGCGAATATCCCGGTTGTGAGAGTAGACCTTTACCTGTTACCTACTCAGTCGACAATCAATAACTTGGGTGACTGGCTAGACAAATTTGGAGTGTTGTGCGGAATCAAGGGCATCAGGCACCGCGTTCCGTTTCTTATGTACTCAGCTGCGGGGATGTACGCAAGAAGTAAAGTTAACAACCTCATGCAAGACACATTGAACGCATTTCTTGTTGTGTGTGAATAAGCAGAGTCTGGTCTGAAACCCACATCGGTTCAGGTTTTGAGGGTTTATCAGAATCACGAAGAGAAATTCTATCTGGATTCGATTAGGCTGTGTTCCGGTTTATTTCCCATTTCACAGTCATTATTCTCATTGGGGAACCAACACATTGGGAAGCGAATTTGCAACTGCTGATTGACATCCTGTTGACCAACGGTAAACCCGATCACATGCCCTCAACATGGCCTGAGAAGCATATCCCGGTGATTGCGTGTAACATGGATTTGGTTTTTATGGACCGTGCGGTATTGCCCCGTTTCGGCCATGGAGCTTTTCTCACCTGCTTGGAAGCGTTGTATCGTAATTTCACCGGTCGAGAATTACAATACACATCCCTATTGGGCAAACCGAGTGAGATCACATTTCGCTTCGCGGAACACATCGTGAACGTGATGGCGCATAGAATTGGCTACACCAAGCCGATCGAACATCTGTACTTCTTCGGGTATGTCCTGTCTTGTTTTTTTTCTCAAAACATCCCTATCTGATTTGGCTCATAGTACCAGTAATTTCACGAGTGTTAAACTATTCATTAGGAGGAAGAATTTAAACAATGTGAAAAATCCTTCTCATATTATTTGGGTGTTCAACATCGAATAGCTCAAAACTGGAGTTTTTCATGAAAGTTAAGCAGACGAATAACACCCGAACTGGACTCCCCAAAACTCCAGTTGTTCTGCCCAATTGGGAATAATAATATGAGAATTCCATAAGAGGTGTCAACATATACATACCAGACAGAAGTCAAGTCAGGTCAACGAACCACTTTATTAACCCCGAGGGGTTAACTGTTCACAACAAGAAGGGGATTATTATTAATCAGCAATTAAAAAGGTGAAACGGACATTAACATCACAAAACTAATGGCATACCTTTGTGTTTATCATTGGTTTAGTTTAGCATATTGCGCAGATTTTCTGCAATAAGTTCATGGTTTGTAAGAAACCTGGCGAGGTCAGGTACAATAGATCGTCTGTAAGCTTCAGTGCGTGCCTTTATAAGTTTATGACTGGGTCGGGGGATGAGTAAGAAAGGCGCTGACTAAAAGCAAAATAAAGGAGATAGGAAATATCAGATAAAATCTTGCTGGAGAATGTTTTACAGGGCTTGAGGTGGTGTGCCACCACGTGCTGTACCAGATGTTCCCGGGGTATAAGACTACATACCGACAGAAACTTGAGAGATCGGGAAATGAGTTTGGGGTCCTTGTTAAAAAGACCGGGAGTGATAATAGGACATCCATAAAGTCAGTGGGGCAAGACGCAAGCAAAACAAAAAACACTTATGCAATGATTTGGGATAGAAAATGATTGGAGACCTAAAATATAAAACACAAGCCCCTCTGACCTTCAGAAAACCATTGTTGACTGGGATGAAGAATGGGATGGAGAGATGGATACACTTCTTATTTGCTGTCACAATGTCTTGAAGAGATATAACTTCATACTTTTATGAATGAATGACTGAGGGTATCCATTCTCTGGAAAAAGATTTTGTATTCTTCCCATTTCAAACTCGACAGAGTCCGAAGAACAAAGTTTCTGAACTCTATTGGTTAAGCAGTTAATCAAATTTCTCTTCTGTTGTGACTGGACAAAGCTATGGTAGTGTGTTCTGTCCCATCCGTGTTTTCTTATGGTGAAGTCTTCTACGAATAGAGCCATCTGATTGTCGAGACAATAACATGTCTAGAAATGCGAGACCATTTGTGGATTCCTTTTCCAGCGCGAGCTCCATTTTCGGATCAGCTCCGTTGAATTTCTCTAACAGAATATCAGCATCGTTTAAACATATGATTTCATCCACATATCGTTTGTAGAAGGCGGATTGTTCCATGGGTTTGAGCATACTCCATTTTCTAGTTTGTCAAGTCAACAGTGCACTTTATTCATCCAATGTGGACAGAATGTTCAGTGAAAAACAATGTTATCGCTTTGCTTTGGCATTGCGCGCTATTAAAAACCAGCTTAAAGATAGGACAAATAATTACTGAGATGATAATAAATCAGACACCGAGAACGGGTAAAAAAAAGAAAATTTCAACGTGGAAATTTACATTAGACTGTGTATAAGTTCGTTTGATATTCCCTTCTTAGAAACCAACAAACATAAAAGCTAAGGTACAACGGAGTTCTGAAAAGCAGTGGTACGAGGATATAAAGGTTTAAATTTATTACAGGTTACAGTAGTTGAAATGGAGCTAGGTAGGGCTCTGTGTTAGGGATGTGACTCATCGGACAAGATGGAGTCACACAGACGGTCACACGCATTCAGGTGTTAGTTGACAATGAAATCAGCCAGCTCCTCCTGAGATACAGCTGCATATCTAGAGATGCTTTTCGGAGAGAAATCCTTAGACAGTAGACCGGGAAAGATAACGGGAGAGCAGTAGGTCCAATGGCATAAAACGCATGAGAAAATAAATTTGGAGATGATGTACAATGTCACCCTCAGATGCCGAAGGCGTGAAAGATAAAAGGTCAACTTTCTGACTTTGTTCTACGAGATAGGATCATTTGAGGTCAGCAGACACGGAACATCCAAGAAATTTGAAGTGTTTTGACCTTTCAACTTTTAAGTTACTGCTCAAGATATTGGGAACAGATGATCCAGAAAAAGTTGATGGCCTACGTTCAATGGAAGACAAAACTTCAATGCATTTATTGGAGTTTAAAGAAAGGTCAACACTATCAGACCATTCAGAAATGGAACTTGTGGTTGATTGAATGGAGTTAGTTGAAGGGTTTTTGTTGTGAGATACACCACTAACTACTATATCATCGGCATATTTAAAAGTGAAAACATTTAGGGTGACTGGCAAGTTTTGGATATAAAAGGAGAACAGAAAAGGGGATAAAACTGCACCATGCATCACACACTGGTTTACAGTAACAGTACCATTGAGACAAGTTAATTGGCGTCGGTCGGTAAAATAGTCGTGCATCCAATTCAAAAGATGTGGCGGAAGATTGTTGCCATAACAGTGTCAATAGGATGTATCTATCGACAGAGTTAAACAGGTTTGGGTAGTCCAAGAAGCAAACGTGAACAATTTTGTGTCTTTGGTCTATAGTGGATAAAACAGAATCTATGAGACAAGCAACCGCATCTTAAGTAGAGTGACACCTACAATAAGCAAACTGATTGGAATTACGAAAAGCAAGATTAGAGGATAGGTGCTTGATAATAATATACTCAAAAGTCCTAAGTAATACTGAAGATGAAGCAATAGGCCGAAACTTACGATTTTCTTTCTTAGGTACTGGAGTGATGCGTACATCACGCCATGTGTGCGAGGTGGTTTGCACACGTTTTAGGACCACTGGGGATAACCCATCAGGACCAGCGGATTTATTTACGTTGACAGCATTTAACTCCATTAAAACATGCTCTGTTGTGACAGACACAAGAAGGTGGAAATCAAATGATGTTGTGTTTGGACTGGGTAAAGCTAGCACAACGTTTTCACTGAAGCAAAAGATTTGTTGAGCTCACTGATATCATATGAGACTGCAGTAGGTAAATTTGGACGACCACAGAGCAACTTCAGCCCGTTCCAAAGCTGACGGCAAGATTTGTCTCTTAGCACGGTGTCAACGTACAATTGATTGAGATGAGCTATCTCGCTTCTGATGTGAAAGTTGACAGATTTGACCGTCAGTTTATCTCTCGAGTGATGCACCCTTTCTTTCAGCCTTTGTAACCATTTCAGTCTATCGGAGATGGAGCGGTTGGACTTTAGATGAATCCTTTCCTGAGGGCAGCACACATCATAACAACAGTTGAGGTAATTGGTATGGTTCTCACAGAAGACTGAAATATCAGGATGGAAGCGTTTTTGTAAGTCCGTACCGTCAATCATGGACTTTAATTCTATCAAATTGGTGAGATGATGTCGTAACCGTATCTTACGTGCATCGTTCTTCACCAGGATTTGTTGCTAAAACTTTAATCAGACAGTGATCGGAATTGCCTACTGGTGCACTACTGGCACGGAAAAAGATGGTTCGTTAACGAAAAAGTTGGCCAAGGAGGCATCATTTCGAGTGGAAAAAGTAACAATTTTCCGAAGGGACACAACTCACATCCGATCTGTTGAAATCGCCAGCAACGATGAATACAGATGTGACAGATTTCTCCAAAATGGTTGGATAGAATACCTCCAGGAACGTAGACAACTCACTAGTCAGGAGTGATGTATGGGTTTGAAAAGATGATCGAAGAGTGATGCAGGAGAAAGCATGGTTTACATTCTACAGAAATACAAGAAATGTTTTGTGTGCAGTGAGTGAATATGCATTTCGTGGAGTTACACCACGACTGGTGCACATAAGTGATGACGCCTCCACCTTTAGTTTTCCTTCCTGGAGGTCTATCTGCTCGAAGTAATTGGAAACCTTCGATCTGAATCAATTTGTCCTCGACGGCTTCTTGTAACCAAGATTCTTGGTAAAGTAGCACACAACTTTTGGAGTACTCACCGTAGTGAATCAG